TAAAAGTGAGGGACAGAATCGGCAGCGCAATATTTTTTCGAATGGGTCTTTCTTATCTTTTAACAATCTTTTCATTCTAATGTAAATTCGTTTTGAACGGTTCGAGACTGTTGATGTCCCGACAGGACACTGGACTTAGTTAGTGGACAGTGGTTTAGCAAGGACTTGCACCGCACAAACCCATCAACTCTTTAGTCACAATCACGATCATCATCACCACAACTACTACTAGTACTACCACCACCAACACAACAACAACAACAACAACTTCAACAATAACAATGGCTTTATTTAGACTAAAAATGTCACAGACTATTCCTCGTGGGTGGTTGGCGGGTGCTCTGGTGTGGTTGGCTCCTTCTTTCATATCAAGCATCTATCGTCCTTATCTCTCCTCCTTCTTTTTTGTTTGTGTTACTCTCTTGTAACACATCCATTCTTCGGCACTTATACGACCTTATTGTATTGCAAGTGCCGTAAAACTCTCACTTAAACTAAAAGACTATTCCTCTGTCCATCTCAATCAGGTTGACATGATGAAGGATGAACGTCACGTAAACTTCAAGAGTGACAACTCCCTCAAAGCCGACATGGTGAGGATTCCCTTCAAAGGAGGCCGTTTCTCCCTGTACGTCGTGCTGCCGCAGAGTGTGGATGGGATCACTGCACTGGGTGAGTCACATTTACCTGTCCTGTAGTTATCTATGCACAGCCAGTTTTGTCATGAGCTCTTTAGTCCCAACCACGATCATCATCACCACAACTACTACCACCACCAACACAACAGCAACAACAACAACAGCAATAACAATTACACTCAAACTTTGGAAGTCACCAAACTTTGGCAGCCATTTTTTTAAAGCCAATTTTACATCTGAAACCGCCTGATCGGACCCTATCTCCTTTAATTACAAATATCCCAACTTGGATCAAGATGGATTAGTATTGGACGATAGCACTGCGGTATGTTTGGTTTGTCAAAATAATACAATCAAAGAAATCGGTACTTTACCTTCAGAGAGGACATTTTTATGGTTTCATTTTTAATGTTTGTTGTTGTTTGTTTTTGCTTTAATTTTATCGCAATACCCTTTAGGTCTATGTTTACAAACACATTTCTGTGTGGATTATACTGAAAAACGTTTGACAAAAGCTCACGAAAAAATGAAAATTTGTAGTTTCTAATTACACTCAAATTTTGGAAGTCACCAAACTGTGGCAGCCATTTTCTAGCCAATTTTACATCTGAAATCACGTGATCGAACCCTATCTCCTTTAATTACAAATAGCTCAACTTCTATTCAAGATGGATTACATGTAGTATTTTTTCAACAAATGCAAGACAAATTAACACTTTAAGGGGGCATCAACAACTCCACATTTTACCCTAATTGATAAGCGCCTCCTTCCACCGCGTCATGACACTACTGTTTTGTTGGTTTTGTTGTTTTTTTGGTAAATGTTTTACGGCGCTCGCAACTGCATAAGGTCATGTGAGCGCGCGGGACACACCTAATACTTTTAGTTGGCAGGAGATTTTGAATTTTGCCCGGGTGGAGGCCGAAGTATACTCTTATCGATTTTAGACCACCAAGGGATCTTTAACGTGCGCAACTTGCACACGGGCGCTCCTAGATTTTTCGCCCTTGTCCGAAAAGGCTAGGTGTAGATCTTTCCTACCAGAAGATCAGGGGTGTGGCAGAAAGACTGCTGTAAGAAGGAGTCAAGGAGTAGCAGTAGAAAGGCTGCAGAAAGAGTCAAGAGCCAGGAGGAGGGGGCAAAGGAGGTGAGGGGGTGGGGCAGAAAGAGGAGACGAAAGCAGATGAAAGAATATTCCTTGAGAGCAGAAAAGGAGGTGAAAGGGGACAATTTTAGAGAAGAAAATTTTTCGGTCGCTACCCAGGACCTTTAAATAAGAGGTCAACACCTTAACCTCTAGGCCACTAGATCCCCACACAACTGTTTGATACTAAAGCATGGTTATGGATGTGCACCTTGCTCAAGCATCAATTAATTGAAGTTCCTTCTCCGCAGGCAAAGATGACGTTGACTTTACATCTCTGTGTGTATGTGTGTGTGTGTGTGCGCCCGCGCTTGTGTGTGTGTGTGTGTGTGTGTGTGTG